GTGTAACTTGTTATCAAAGATAAAAAGGACCATTAGCCTGGCAAATGTTTTTCCTCTAGAAACTATAAATTATCAATTTACTCTTAACTTTAAGTAAGTATACCCCTGAAAGTATATGAGATTTCTAGAGCATCTTAGTTCTTGCTGTATTTGGATGTATTCGTAGCATATAAAACAATGCTGCCCTCTGGTGGTAAGTAGTTTAATAGTGTGCCAGCTTTATTTTTGCAAATCTATTTCAAGGGTTTACTCTTTGTTTAGTAGGATTTGGGAGCTCTGGTGGTATAGTGCCTAAGACATTTGACTGTTAACTAGAAGGATGGTGGTTAAAACCCCTCAGAAGGAAGACTGGGGAATCTACTTCTGTAGTGATACCACCTCAGAAACCCACGGAGGGTTTGCTATGAGTTGGCTCTGACTTGACGGCAGTGAGTTTGGTTTTGGTAGTAGGACTTACTTCAAATGAATGTCTTTTTTAGATCGCGTTCGAATTTAAAAGGTCTCTACTATGAAAATTCATTTGAAAATCTTATTTAATCTCAGATAAATGCTTGGTATGGCTTTCTGTGATCAGTAACACTTGTGCAATTGAAGGGCGAGTTCCATTAATAAATGAGAAGAATTGAAGTCTCAGAACTGAAGGCAGGTTAAGAGTACTAGAAAAATAAATCACCCAACGTGAATTGCTCATATAAGCATGGAAAATCATGGACTTTAACTTGTTCATCAGAACATGTATTACATTAAACTCCCCATTTCAGAGGGTTGCCCTTAAGACACCTTTTGAGTAGAACTTTTAAAAAAGTATACCCATTGGAATCTGAAAAGGTAAATGATAGTGTTTAGGAATAGTGAGCATTATTACTAGAACTTTATATTAAAAAATTAAAAATTTCCCTTTGAAATGTAACCATGGTCTTTGATTTACTATTCTGAATATTTGGCCTGCTTCTCCTAAACACAAATTTTATTATGCTTAGGTTTTTGCCATATGGACATTTTCTGAATCTGTAATTAAGCCATTAATTGAAAGATTCTTTTGGAAGTGTTGGTTTTCATCACTTAGAGAATAACTTGTCTTAAATTTTGTTTTTGCTTTTCTGTTTTAGAAAATTATATAAGTGAGACTTACATAAATGAGAACGTATTCAGTGGCTGAGAGTTAGAAATAAATTTCAGTTATTTTTCTAGGGTCTTGGTTTTTATAGTTAGCTCTCCTTTAGGCTCATGACTGGGAAGTTTAGCTCTTTCTGGTAGGCACCTTAATGAAGGTAAAATTCATAAAAATTGGTAATTATACATATTTCTAGTTGAGTCTTTATCAGTTGATAAGAAAAAGTTTTAATTACTCAGCTTTTATAGTCATTAAGTGCTGTTATAGTATACTTAAAGAAATGCAATTATGTGTTTTGGTTTTAAATGCCCCTTCAGAATAATCAAACCAAACCTTTTGCATTTGAGTTGTTTCTAATTCATATGACCCTGTAGAACAAGGTAAAACTGCCCCATAGGGTTTCCAAGACTGTAATCTTCAAGGAAGTAGATTGCCACATCTTTCTCCCATGGAGCAGTTGGTGGATTCTAACTGCGCACCTTTCTGTTAGCAGCTGAGTGCTTAACCATTGTCCCATTATGGCTCCTTTGAATGCCCCATAATGGTTTCATAATCACAACATACATCATAATAACCCATGACCATCTAGTTGATTCCAACTCCCATTGGGTTTCCAAAGCGGTAAATCTTTATGGAAGCAGACTGCCTCATTTTTCTTCCATGGAGCAGTTGGTAGGTTTGAACCACTGACCCTTGGGTTAGCAGCCAAATACCTTATCTACTGCACCACCAGAGCTCCTTGAAATCATAAATAAATGATTTAAAATTATTTTTGGCTAAAGATAGTACACAAGCTCTGGTGGTGTAGTGCCTAAGACACTTGACTGCTAACCAGAAGGTTGGGGGTTCAAACCCACCAGCCACTCCTCAGAAGGAAGATTGGGCAATCTACTTCCATTGTGATACTGCCTAGAAAACCCAAAGAGGGGTCGCTATGAGTCAGAGACAACTCAATGGCACATAACAACAACAACAACACAAAGATAATGTGGTTGGAGAAATTATATAATTTAACTGGATACAGTGGATTTCTGTTACCTTTGTTTTACAGAAAGCTATAAAGCATGTATCAGTTATTTTAACTTCAATAATCTTTTATCTGATAGAATAAAAGCTATAGGGCCTTTTCTTATGCTTAGCTTGAAAATGTTGACTTAATATCCTTTTGTGAAATGTGGGCTGGTATAGTTTACAAGGCCATCCTCATAGATCATATTATACACAATCTTTTTATTGGCAGTATTTTGATAATGGAATCACTATATATATATATATATATATATATATATATATATATATATACACACACACACACACACACACACACACACACACACACACACTTTGTTTTTATTATAAAATATGCCTTATGCACACAGCCACAGGAATTCAATGGATAGCCAGGCATGCCTGTGCCCAAAGCAAATTCAGCCCCAATAATTAAAGGTGACAGTTTGAACGTTTTCTTTTCTTTTAAACTTTTTCTTTTGATTGGGGTGAAGGTTTACAGAGCAAATTGGTTTTCCACTGAACAGTTATACACATTTTGTGTTATAACATTCATTGCAATCCCCGCAATGTAATAGCACTCTTCCTACTTCCTTCTTGTGTTTACCATTTTCATTCATCCTTCTTTTCTATCATTTCTTGCCTTCTGAGCTTTATACCTAGGCAAATACTACCCTTTTAATCTTGTAAGGTTGATTGTTCTAAGGAGTACCTACCTCCCTGGTATTGTTCACCTTACAAGCCTATTTTTTTTTTGAAAGTTGAACCACAGGGTGATATCATCAGTTCCAGGTCTGAAGGGTATCTAAGGGCCATGATCTCAGGAATTCCACCAGTCTCTGTCAGACCTGTAAGCCTGGTCTTTTTTTATAATTTTGAGTTTTGTTTCACATTTTTCTCCCAGTCTATCCAGGATCCCCTATTGTGATCCCTTTCAGAGCAGTTAGCTGTGGTAGTATGACACCATCTAGTTCTTCTGGTCTCAAAGTTGTAGAGGCTAGTTGGGGTTTATGTGGTTCCTTAATCTCTTGGACCAATTATTTCCTTGTGTCTTTGATTTTCTTCACTTATCTTTGCTCCGAATAGGGAGAGACCAATAGTTGCACCTTAACATTTTCTTTCTTTCTTTTTTAAACAGAGCTTCAATTTAAAAAGGTCACTTTTTATGTTCTGATGGATTGACTTTCTGACTTGGAGTGTGGAAAGGGAAAAATGTTGTACCTTTTATGAAGGAATGCCAGACTTCTAGGAGATACATATACACACATACTTAGGCATGTATGTGGGGAGGGGGGAGTTGATTGGTGATTTTCGTTAAAGTCTTCCTGCTTAAGCCAGCTTCAGCATTGTTTTTAAGCAGCCATGATATGTTACATCTTATTGTAACTGGGAGAGTTTAACTGTGAGAGAAACTACTTCTCTCAAGTATCATAACTAGTTCTTTTTTTTTTTATTATTAGGATTTGGGTGAAGATTTACAGAATAAATTCACTTTTCATACAGCAGTTCACATATACTTTGTCTCATGTCATTGACCAAAATTTACAATGCAGCAGCTTCCCTCCCACTTCCTCCCCATAGTTACGTCCTCCCAGTGTCCAGCCCTTCATACTCTTCTGCACCCTGAGCTATCTCCCTGTGCATAAGCAGCCCTTCCTTCTCCCATGATTGTTCTCTCCAGGGCGTGTGTCTAATTGAGGTAAATGTTTAACTCACATGCCTGTACTTTGTTTGGCTGGAAACCACAGTTGTGGGTTCAATTCCAGACCTGAAGGGCAGCTAGGGGCCATAGTCTCAGTGGTTACACCAGGCTCCATTGGACCAGCAAACCTGGTCCCCACCTTTTTTTTTTTTGCCTCCAAATGATTTTGAGTTTTGTACCACATTGTTCTCCCTCTTTATGCAGGATCTCCTACATCCCTTCCAAGTGGATGGCAGTGGTAGCTGGGCACCATCTAGTTCTTCTGGTCTCATAGTTGTATAGGTTGCAGATCGGATGGTGTACCAGTTGCTAGGACTGATTGTTTCCATTAATTTTGGTTTTCTTCTTTCTTCTTGACGAGGAGAGACCCGTTGTTGCATCTAGATGTCAAGTATCATAACTAGTTCTTTTGTTAAAAAAAAAAATCTTGGAATGAAAATCGGGACTGTATTTCCTTCATAGATTATAAAGCTGAATCATCTAACCCTGATTATGCTATTTTAATGTTAATCACAATATTCATTTTAAGTAAAATAACATAATAAGGTTGAGAAAGTTCCCACAAAGAATTTCAAAGGGCTTTCTTGACATTCTATCTTTTTAACATATTTATCTCTTCACGTTGGTGATTATGATAGGAAAATGCTTATTGAAGGGTGTGTTTTGGGTTTCTTTTTATCTTTGGAATGTAAACTGATTCTTAATGAAAATAAAACCCTCAATGTTTGTTTGAATTATTATTGCTTGTCTAACTGTGGCTTCAACAATCATACATAAATATTGGGGAAAAGGAGAGAATACATAAGATGAGCTTCATAAAAGCATGCCACTTCCAGAGGTTGTTGAGCATCTTAAATAACATGTGGTGAGTCAGTGAGGATTCAGGACTCTGTAACTCCTCAGTTAGTCTTGATTGAAAGCTTTTTTTTAGTTCAGTAGTGCCTTTATTTTAATGCTGCACAGAATGTCTTGCTATTCCTAAAAGGCATGTTGATGAAACATAGTAATAACTCTGCCATAGTTTGACTAATATATATGCTTATTGGTGAGTTCACTGTTTATCTTGTACTAGCCTGTTGCTTTCTATGACCATTTAAATTAATGTGATTGATTCAGCCTTACTTTGTGATATTTTAGTACTTTTATAATAAAAGGAGTATTTCATTTCATCTGCAGGTGCTGCTGTTTTTTCAAACGAAGGAAAAGGAAAACTGTTCAGCGCCACAAATGACTCTGGACACAGAGAGATCATGGAGAGTTACTTACATGTTCATCTGCTGTCTTGTGATTAAAATCATCTCTGTTAGTGACCACATATATTTTCAAGGACTCACTCTTAGAGACATCATACCTTCATACTTCATTTTGTGATTGTCTTATATTCTTTTTTTTTCTAATTTAACTTTTATGGAAGCTTTAAAGTTTTGTCAAAACATGAGTGCTTTGCCCGTCTATGAGGGAAATGGATCAGTGAGGTGGCATTGGTGAATACAGTTGTAGAGAACATTTTTCAGAAGCTCTTCTCCTGTCGTAGAAGGCAGTACAGTATCTTAAATGTCAACAAGTTTTATACCTAACTTGGTTTTTCATAAGTTGTGTGAGAGCATAATAAAACAGGAATTTTCTCCCCAGTGGATAATGCAACAGAGAAAACAGAGTTGCCCAAATGTTTAAAGAAATTATTCCTTGAGAAGTTCATATTGTGTGTGACATCTGCATTGATTTCAGTATTACTGATGGTACTGCTGTTCATGAGTCATATTAACATTCTCTTTGTGAAATCATGGTACAATCACTGCCCAGAGGTACTGAGGAAAAAGCTCTGTGGGTTCTGCAGATGGTAGTGCTAAAATGAATCACAAGTCATGCGTTAAATATGAGTTCTGCTTTTGTTACGCCACTATGTGAAGTGTGTTGCAGACGTGGCAAAAGTGCTTATTAAAAAAATGCAAAATATTTGTATAATGTAACTTTATGCTTCCAGGTAATAATGTATGTTAGACAGCAGGAAATGAATACTTTGAGAAATGATATATATTGGAGTTTTAAGAAATACACAAAGAAGAAAAAGAAAGAAATGTGAACCTCATTGAAATGTATTAAGGTTGAAGTCCAACGTGATCCCACTGAAACCTGCTGCTGAATGGTAACATTCTCCCTTAAGCAGAAAACTTTGGATGTGCCATACAATGGTGATCTGTTTATTAATTATTTTCCTCTTTTATAAGAAAGACGCCCAGCAATAAAAAAATTGGGTCACTCTGTTGCCCTCTGTGCACATTAGTCTCTTGTATTCAACTTTGCTGGTTCTTTGGAAGTTTCTTACTAGTTAGCATAATTGTGATGATAGCAAAATACTTTGGAGAGGGTGAGTCAGGTGCTTTGCCTCCATAGTTTTTTGAAGTGCCTGCATATGAACAAAGTAATGATTCTACAAAAACGGAAACCCATTCCACTTTTCAAGTGTGCTTTGTGTTAAGCCATAAAAACAGTGTACTTTGGTTACATGCTGTTAGCCAGAATTTTCAATAAGGGTTAAAACAAAATGACTGGCTAGAAAGATGATTTTATTGTTCAAATCTTATACTCACCTTTCATTTATAAAATTGTCACTTACTACTTCCATTCAATCCCTTCTGTCTTTAAGTACATGCCCTCAGGCATGCTTATTTATTTTTCCTGTCTCAAGGTAACATTTGAATTGTGTATTAAATAATTTCACATTTTTTACTTCATTATTGCATTTACAGGGATTTAATTGTATTTTGTAATTTATTATTTTTTTTAATTAGTCAAAAAAATCAGTGTGTTGTTTTGATGAATTAGGCATCCATACAAGCATCACAAATCTGGACATTGTTTATTAATGTTGGTATGAATTCTATGAATGATCTTTTTAAATTCTTTATTTTACCTAGAAAACATTTGCCATATAATTTGGTCAATACTTTCCATTCTATCTATTTGTATACTGTCATGATGTCTTGTACTACAGGAGTTACATACTGAGTTTTTATTTTTGTTTGCTTTGAGCAAGGTGGATGGTTGTTTTGGCCATTATAATGTGAAATCACTTCTTTCTTTACAGTATTTGACCAAATTTGTGTGTCTATGATATTTGTAAATACATGTGATATCTGTATTTCTTATCATAAACCTATTTAGTTTTATTCTCAGTAGGGTTTTTTGGACTGTACAGTGTTTATATGATCTGAACTCCTTATACATAAGAAGGTGTGTATATTAATCCAATTATGGACTTAAAATATTTTAAAAGTATAAATACCCTTATTTGCTGCAAAGACCAGTGTGTAGACATTTGCTTTTTAGCAATATTTCTAAGTGCTCCATTTTAATACCAAGGAATAGGTCTTTTGGCAACACAAACTGGTCAATAATAGGTAATGCAGGTATGTTCAGGTTAAGCCAACGATGTTTTGCATTTATATGCTTCTTTTCTGTCAACACTAATGAAGTCACCATTGCCTGAATGTCTGAATAATGAAACACATCCCTGTTTAAAAGTATGTAACTGAAAAAAAGAAATGAAAAATAAAGGTAGTTTTTTTAAACTTGCTTTTTCCCCTTTTCTCTAGTGGGTGAAATAATGCCACTTGTTAATTTAAGATAGGAAAGAAAACATGTAATTCATTCTCTCAGTCATGTTTGAGAAATAGAACTAAAGATATACTTTTGTTATTTTGTTATTGTTTTGTTTTGCTTTTTTCGAACCCAGTTGAAAAGGGCCCATACCAGCATGGACCTAAGCTTTCCTTAATGAAGTGTTTGTTTTTTCTCAGGTTTCTCTGAACTTTTTAATAGAGCAAGTAATGAAAGCTAGTCTTCTGATAAACTAAGAGAAATAAACTCAATCATTTTCTTTTTTGAAATTATACCATTATAATGCAGAAATTAAACATTATTATTGTAGTTTTAAGTGAATGGCGTTAAATCTAGTTCATTGCAGATGGCTAATGTATATTTGTGACAGTATCTTACAGTTTATCATTGTGCTAAGTACTTTGAAGTATTTTGCAAAATGATATTAATAGTGCTCTACTTATTAAAAGGGAACTCCTGGGTGATGCAAATGGTTAAAAATCTTGGCTATTGACCAAAATGTTGGAAGTTGGAGTCTACCCAGACACACCTTGGAAGAAAGGCTTGGCAATCTACTTCTGGAAAATCAGCCCTTGAAAATTCTGTGGAGCACAGTTCTACTCTGACACACATGGGGTTGACATGAATCAGAATTGGCTTGACGGCAACTCATCGTTTACTTTCTGAAGGATGCTACAGGTAAGATAAAGCAAAGCAGTATACACTCAACCCATTAATAGCATGTTCATTAAGCAGCAGAGACAGTCAGAAACAGGAGAAAGATCTGGAGATGACATGTAATTATTCAGAGGTCCTATCTAGAAAAATATGATGTAAGATTACAGGTCTAATCGACATGATTGTGTAAATTGCCTTTGTTAGAACCCATTGAATTGTAAGTGACAGAACTTAATATGGTATAAGCAGTAGGGGTATATGGTGGTTCATTTAACCAAAAAGTCCAGTGGTAAGACTAGATTCAGGCATGCTCAGTCCCAATGGTAAAACAGGAATATGTCTTTCTATGCATTTCTCAGTTTTGCTTTCCTCCCTGCTGTCCTCATTTTCAGGTAGCCTTTCCATGTGTGATGGTGAAGTGACCATATAGCAGTTTCAGACTTCTATTCTATCAGCTTAGTAACTCAAGCAAAAACAAAAGACCATTGTCCCCAACAGTCCCAACAAAATTCTAGGGCTGACATTTATTGCTTCATTGGTTCCATGTTTACCCTTGAGCCAGTTACTATAACCAAGGGAATACTCTTCTCCCAGTGGCTGAGCCTGAGTCCACCTTCAGAGGACACACTGTACTAAGAATGAGGCAGAATGATTATTATTCAAAAGAAAATCAGGATATTGTTATCAGAAGGAGAGTGAATAATTATCATTATTGTCTCTGAGAATTTTATAAAGCTGGACACATTAGAAATCCTTTGCATAGTGAATGAGTATATTTGAAAAATGCTATGAATTCAGGTAAAAAGGGGATTTCAGAAGTACCTTATTTGTCAAGTTTTTCTTTAGCTTTTCAGGATTTTGGTGATAAAATTAGGTTTGAAGAATTAAAAGCTCATTTTTCTAGTGGACTCCAAATAATTAGAAAGTTTTGCTGATGTTCAGGATAAGTAGTTTCTTCCCTGCTCAGCTCTAATACACATCCATATGTTATTTTTCTATGAAATTTACTACTTTGTGTTAAGTACATATGTGATAAAACATTTACCTGAAATTTACTTTTTCATAACAGTACATGAATCATAACCAAAGGAAGAGCTGTACATAGACGTATTATCAGGTAATATCAGGATATGAAAATGGCTTTCATAGAAAGAACAATTGTTCATAGGGATATTTACCACACTGTGATTTCACTTAAATGGGAAAATACTCCTGCATTGCTCTAGACCTATGGTTGGCAAACTTTTCCTTTAAAGGGCCAGAGGGTGAAAAATTTATATTTTGTGGGTCAAGAGGCAAAATTGAGTTTAATACCTATACTTATATAATGAGAAAAGAAATTTCTATAAATACTTTGTTGGTGAAATTCAAAATATAATTGAATACAGTTTTTTTGTAGTACAGCTTCACTAATGATAAGAATTGAGTTATTTGGAAGAGGCTGTTTCACTTAATTGGTGTTGAAAATTAATAACAAGTGTTCATCGGTTAATGCTGATCTATAATTCTATTTTACTTATTTCATGTCTGAAAATATCTTTTCACAGAGGTTGTTGTTGTTAGGTGCCGTCGTGTCCGCTCTGACTCATAGTGACCCTCTGTTCAACAGAACAAGAAACACTGCCCGGTCCTGTGCCATCCCCACAGTCCTTGCTGTGCTTGACCCAGCACTGCAGCCACTGCATCAGTTCATCCTGTGAGCGTCTTCCCCTTTTTCACTGACCCTGTGTTTTGTCAAGCATGGCATCCTTTTCCAAAGACTGATCCCTTCTAACACAACGACGTACTAGGTGATACGAAGAAGCATTCTTGTAAGGAGTTTTGCAAGCTTCTAAGGAGCATTCTAGCTGCACTTCCTCCAGGGCAGATTTGTTTGTTCTTCTGGCAGTCCATGGATTTTCAGTGTTCTTCACCAGCACCACAATTCAAAGGCACTTTGGTCTTCATTGTCAAGTTTTCACATGCATATGAGATGATTGAAAATACCATGGCTTGGGTTAGGTGCACTTTATTCTTCAGAGTGACATCTTTGCTTTTTAACACTTTAAAGAGGTCCTTTGCAAGCAGATTTTCCCAGTGCAATATGATGTTATGATTCCTTGACTGCTGCTTCCATTGATGTTGATAGTGGATACAAGTAAAATGAAATCCCTGACAACTTCAATCTTTTCTCCATTTATTGTGATGTTGCTTATTGGTCCAATTGTGAGGATTTTTGTTTTCTTTCTTTTGAGGTGTAATCCATACTGAAGTCTGTAGTCCTTGATCTTCATCAGTAAGGGCTTCAAGTCATCATCAGTTTCAGCAAGCAAGCGCATATATCATGTGCAGATCACAGGTGGTTAATGAGTCTTTCTCCAATCCTGATTCTGCGTTCTTGTTCATATAATCCAGCCTCTTGGATTATTTGCTCAGCATACAGATTGAATAAATACGTGAAAGGATACAACCTTGATGCATACCCTTCCTGATTTTAAACCATACAGTATGCCCTTGTTCTGTTCAAACAGCAGCCTTTTGGTCTATGTACAGTTTCCTCATGAGCACAATTTAGTGTTTTGGAATTCCCTTTCTCCACAATGTTATCTATAATTAGTTGTGATCCACACAGTCAAACGCCTTTGCATAATCAGTATAACCTAGAGAAACATATTTCTGGTATTCTGTGCTTTCAGCCAAGATCCATCTGATATCAGCAATGATATCCCTAGGTCCATGTCCTCTTTTGAATCCAGCCTGCACTTCTGGAAGTTCCATGTCAGTATACTATTGCAACGGTGTTGGAATTATCTTTAGAATTTTACGTGTGCATGATATTAATGATATTGTTCTAAAATTTCCTCATTCTGTTGGATCACCTCACGTTGGAATGGGCACAAATACAGATCTCTTCCAGTTGGTTGGCCAAGTAGCTGTCTTCCAGATTTCTTGGCATAGACAGTAAGTGTCTCCAGCACTCCCTGAAACATCTCATGGGTATTCCATCAATTTCTGGAGCCTTGTTTTTCACCTATTCCTTTAATACAGCTTGGACTTCTTGTTTCAGTACCATTGGTTCTTGATCACATGTTACCCTCTGAAATAGCTGAACACTGGCCGATTCTTTTTGGTATGGTGACTCTGGATTTCTTCCATCTTTTGATCCTTTCTTCATTGTTCAATATTTTGCTCACAGAATTCTTCAGTATTGCAAGTTGAGGCTTGAATTTTTTCATCAGTTCTTTTAACTTGTGAAACGTTAAGTGTGTTCTTCCTTTTTGGTTTTCTAACTCCAGGTCTTTGTACATTTCATTATAATACTTTACTTTGTCTTCTCAAGCCACCATTTGAAATCTGCTCAGCTCTTTTAATTCATCATTTATTCCATTTGCTTTTTCTACTCCACATTCAAGAGCAAGTTTCAGAGTCTGTTCTGACATCTGTTTTGGTCTTTTCTTCCTTTCCTCTCTTTTTAATGACCTTTTGCTTTCTTCACGTATGATGTTCTTGATGTCATCCCACCACTCATCGGGTCTTAGGTTTATTCATGTTCAGTGTCAAATCTGTCTTTCAGATGATCTCTAAATTCACGTGGAATATAATCAAGTTCTTATTTGGCTCTTGTAGACTTGTTTTAATTTTCTTCAGCTTCAACTTGAGCTTGCATATGAGCAAATGATGGTCTGTTTCACAGTCAGCTCCTGGCCTTTTTTGATTGATGATAGTGAGCTTCTCCATTACCTTTCACAGATGTTGATTTGATTCCTGTGTATTCCATCAGACGAGGTTCATGTGTATAGCTGCTGTTCATGTTGTTGAAAAAATGTATTTGCAATGCATAAATTGTTGGTCTTGAAAAGTTCTCTTCATGTGGTTTCTGGCATCATTTCTATTGTCAAGGCCATAGTTTCCAACTACTGATGCTTCTTTGTTTCCAACTTTTCCATCCCAATCACCAGTAATAGTCGATACATGTTGATGGCATCTTTGGTCAATTTTAGGCTGGAGAAATTGGTAAAAATCTTGAATTTTTTCAACTTTGACTTTAGTGGTTGCTTCATAAATTTGAATAATAGTGGTATTAACTGGTCTTCCTTACAGATGTGTGTATATTTTCCTCTCACTGACAGCATCATACTTCAGGATTGTTGTTGTTGTTGTTATGTGTTGTCGAGTTGGCCCCGACTCATAGCGACCCCTCCTTGGGTTTCTGAGGCACTATCACTACAGAAGTAGGATTGCCCAACCTTCCTTCCAAGGAATACTTCAGTATAGATTTTCTTAAAAAATTTTATTGTGATTTGGGTGAAAGTTTACAGAGCAAATTCATTTTCCAAATAGCAGTTCATACACATTTTGTTTCATGACATTGACTTCAATTCCCCACAATGTAGCAGCTCTCTTTCCACCTCCTCCCTGTAGTTACTTCTTTCCTGTGCCCTTCTTTCCTATGCATTCCTGCTCCCCGCCCACCAAATATCTCCCAGTGCAGACACTGTGCTTCAATTCTCCCACGATTGATCACTCTAAGGAGTTTATGTACCTGATGTAAATGTTTACACTGTATGCCTCTCTATTGTTTGGCTGGAAGCCACA